AGCAAAACACACGATTTGTTGAATGTACTGATGATCTACTCTGTGAGCCTTCTCTCAATTCACAATAATAAGTTAAACAAACAAGAGGAAAATCCTTGTGGCCTCAGGGTATGCAAAGATTTCTTAAGGCAGGAAAAGCACAAAACAAAAAAACTGATAAACTGGATTTAATTAAAAATATAAACGTTTGCTCTTTAACTGGAAGAAAATATTTGCAGCATGTGTATCTGGCAAAGGATACCCAAAATGTATAAAGAATTCCTAAAACTCTGAAAAATTTAAAAATAGGCAGAAATTCTGAACTGAGAAATTCCTAAAACGAATATAACTGGCCAAGGATCTATTTACACAGAAAGGTACCAGCTAGATAATCCTAGTCACCAGGGACTGCAAACAAGCTGCTGTAGACTTGGCAGCGGACTCATCCAAGCACAGACAACAGTCAACACACTCTACCTGATCCTGTGCCACTCCTATGATTGGTGGTGGAAGAGACCACTGTAATACATAGGGTCTCACTGGCTGGAGTTCACAAACAGATTACCAGGCCTTTATTCCTAGTTGTTTCAGCCTGGCAGCTCAGTTGAAATCTGTTCAGCATGACAGCAACACGAAAGCCTCCTACAGACAGTTGGGTAGTGGCCGCACAAGAGGAATCAGGGCTGGGAATTGAGTCTGGGTCTCCTGACATTACAACAGTTTAAAACCTGGACTGCTAACCAAAAGGTCAGCAGTTCAAGAGAGAACCTGGCAATCTGCTCCCATAAAGACTGTTGCAGTGAAATGCTGTCAAGTCGGCTCTGACCCATAGGGTTTCCGAGGAGTAGGTGGTGAGTCTGAACCACCAACTTAGCAGTCTAGTGCATTAACCCAGAGCGCCACACCAGGACTCCATCCCATAGAGTTTATAGTGTAGGAAACCCTCTGGGGCATACAAGGTTCCTATGAGTTGGAATTGCCTTGATGGCACACAGCACAGTAACTGCTGTACATAAAGTAAGAGTTCTATCTCCAATCTATAGATGCCTTAAGGCAGTGTTGGTGCTGTGGTGTAGGCTTTGAGCTGCTAATCACAAGGTCAGGAGTTCAAACCCAGCAGCCACTCCATGGGATAAAGATAAAGTTGTGTGCTTCAAAAAGATGTCGTCTCAGAAACACTACAGAGCGTTCGATGCGTCAGAATCAGAATCACTTGATGGCAGTAGGTTTGGTTTAAAAAGAAAAGAAAACAAAAACCACCATCAATGTCTCTTATTTCCAGCTTATGACCAGTAATTCCACTTCTAAATCTTTTCTAATAGAAATGAAAATGTGTGAATGTGTATCTAAGATTTTTAACACAAATGTCCATAGCAACCAGAAACTGGAAACAACCCAAATGCCATTATCTTGTGAATGGATACACCAACCACAATGGAACATTATATGTGAATAAAACAGAGCAACATGGATAAATCCCAAAAGCATTAGGCTCTGCAATAGAAACCAGGCTCAAAAGACTACATATACTAGATACACACGATTCCCTCTGTCTGAAATCCCAGTAAAGGCGAGCCATCGTGGCAGAAAGCAGATAAGCGGAGACAGGCGTGAGGGTGACAACTGACTAGTTTGAATGGGGTGGGGTGGGGGGGTCCCTGAGTGCTGGAAATCTTGACTGTTGTCGTCATTACATGACTGTATACATTTATCAAAAGTCAACCAACTCTCCAGTTAAAATTAATGATTTTTAAATTGTATATAAATTTAATCTCACTAGTTGCTGCTAAGTACCACTGAGTCGGTTCCTACTTATAATGATGCTGGTATGCGGTTCCCAAGGCTTAAATCTTTTCAAGAGCAGAAAGCCTCATCTTTCTCCCAAGGAGCAGCTAGTGGATTCAAACCACTGACCTTGTAGTCAGCAGCGGTCCAGGGCTTACCCTACAGAGTCACAGCATTCTCACTTTAGTAGTTTGGCAGTTATATCTCAATACATTAAGTTCCATCAAGTCAATTCCAACTCATAGCGACTCCATATAGGGTTTCTGAGGAGCCGCCTGGTGAGTTTGTGCGGCTGACCTTACGTTCAAATCCACCTTGTGGGTCCACTGCTTACCCTACAGCGCCACACCAGGACTTCATATCTTAACATTTCTGTTGTTGTTAGTAAGTGCCATCGAGTAGGTTCCGACCCATAGCAACCCTGTACAGGGTTTCCAAGGAGTGGCTGGTGAGCAGCTTGAACCATTGACCTTGAGGTTCAAACTGACCTTGCAGTAGAGCACCTTGGCCCACAGAGCCACTCCAGGACTCCGTATCTCACTGCAGCTGAATTTAACAAGGGGGGACCTGATGGCAAGTTATGGCAGTGCCATATATTAATTTAATTTTTTAAGTTTATCTGATCCTCCACATAAAAAAAACAAACAGTGAGCTCTTTCCCTTGGCCTCAGATCCGCCGGCAGTGCGGTTTTTTTTTGCTCAGCCATGGCCAAGATCAAGGCACAGGACCTTCGCGGCAAGAAGGAGGAGCTGCTGAAACAGCTGGACAACCTGAAGGTGGAGTTGTCCCAGCTGCACGTCACCAAAGTGACTGGCGGTGCGGCGTCCAAGCTCTCTAAAATCCGAGTTGTCCGCAAATCCATTGCCCGGGTTCTAACTGTCATCAACCAGACTCAGAAGGAGAATCTCAGTAAGTTCTATAAGGGTAAGAAGTGCAAACTCCTGGATGTGCAGCCCAAGAAAACATGTGCCATGTGCTGCAGACTCAACAAGCACGAGGAGAACCTGAAGACCAAGAAACAGCAGCGGAAGGAGCGGTTGTACCACTGCAGAAGTACAAAGTCAAGGCCTGAGCATCTTACATCAATAAACACAAACTGGCTGGAAAACAACAAAAGTGAGCCGCCACCAGACGGCAAAATCCAAATCCAAGGACACAAATAACAAATGAGCCGAACAGTATATCCTCCTCCTGAAGGCCAAAATAAAAGCAGAAGAGCAACAGCACCCACATTTACAGAGTTACCTGGGTTCAGTGTCTGTGGGAAGCCACTGAGGATGGCGTGTGTGACGGAGCTGAGAACAGCGACAGCTCTCCACTGAAGAGACAGCGACCAACGTGGAGGAGGAGTGGGAACTGGAGGGCTCGTTCCCTGTCTAATAGTGGGTGAGTCAAAGGGGTGGAGCCCTAACACCTCTTGAAACTGACCATCCAGAAAGGAGGGAAAAGATGGTTCAGAGCAAAGTCGGAGAGGGGAACAGTTAAGAACCTCAAAAGTCTAAGAAATGATGCCAACAAACATATACGCATTTTTTTATAAAACACAACATGAAAACAACAGAAGTAGGAACTCTGTAAAACTACAAAAGTCCCCCAGGTCCACACCTAAAATTTCAGGAACATGAATCTTATCTATAAAATGAGTAATAACAGAGTATAAGGTCAAGATTCATATTAAGTTAAAACAAGAGACTAAGGAGCCCCTATAGTCAATGAAAATTGTTAGAAAGACATGTCTACAAAACGGTTAAAACTATAATATGCAATTTCAAAATAGCTATCTTTTTAAAGGAAAAGTTACATAAAAGAACAACAAAAGTCAGAAACAGAAAATCTTAGAAATAAAGTGACAGAACGCAGGAAAGAACTAAAAATGAAAGAAGAAATCATTTCAGTAGCAGAGACAATTCAGCAGCATGATCTCCAAAAAGACACGCCCACATCTTCACTCCTGGAACTGACGCCTGTATTTGGAAAAAGGATCTTCACAGATGTGATGAACAGTTTTGAGATACGAGCACCGTGGATTCTCTGACAGACCCTAAATCCAATGATAAATGTCCTTAACCAAGAGGAGGAGGCAGTCTGGAGACCGAAGTACAAGCACACAACACTGAGAACCAGCAGAAAAGACATGAAGAGAGAGGAAACAGAGGCTTTTCGAGCTCCCAGAGGGAGCCTGGGCCTGCTGACGGACGTCTGATCTCCAGAACAGGAGAACAAACTGTTTCTAACTGCCACGTTTGCGATCATTTGTTACAGCAATCCCAGAGAATTACGGCAGTACATTTAACGAGAAGGAACACAAACATGGAGGAACCCAATAGACAATGCCTTAAGGAAAAGAGGAGAAAAGAAAAAACAAATGTTAAAATTCAAAGAAATGAAGAGTATAATAAAGATTTGCGAGAATGTGGTGAACACTTAACTCAGTAATTACATCCCACATCTTAGAGGATATCCTCAGAGGAATAATCATGAATGTTCGGCAAGGATCTGTATAATCACAGCATCATTTTTAACAGTCCACATATGGAAACCTATCAAATATCCAGCAACTGTGGCAAAGGCTGGATAAAGATAGCACGCACATGCTAATTCTATGTGGTCCACAGCAAGGTTCAGGGGGAAGACCATTAAAAGACAACAATGAGCTTGGACCCAAGTCCCACTAAATGTCCTCCACCTCCAACTGGCAGGTTCTCTTACAGCCTTGAAGATCCGAATTCAATCCCCACCGTAGTCACAGCTTCCTCTCCTCCATCAGAATCCCAAACATCCCTTGGACAAGTCCCTTTTCACACTTATGGGACAAACCCTCCAAGTAGCAACAGCTCATGTGGGTTAGTATAAAACATACTATATACAGTATTTAAAGAAGCAGTCTTCACATTTTCTGAAAACAAAACTTCAAAAAAAAAAATCCCTAAATTGTTGAAGAGGTTCATCCATTTTCTCTATTTAATCTTGGTTTTCTAAATTAACTAGGGTATTAAAATAAGCACTTTACAAGGACAAATCACTAATGCTTCATCACCTGTGGCGTATCAATACTGACCTCTGGAAGGCATCATTATATTCTACTAAAATCACTAATGCTTCATCAACTGTGGCGTATCAATACTGACCTTTGGAAGGCTTCATTATATTCTACTAAAACCTGCTACTTAAGAAAGAAAATGTGCATTAAAACGATGATTAATCAACAGAGAAAAAGCTCTTTAGCAGAACTTACTTTAATGTATCCACACATTGGCAGAGTTTGGTTGGATAATTTCCTTGGCGTGTCTATTTCTGGATTGATGTAGTGCCGATTAGGACAGATCCTTTTGTCTCTGAAAAAAGCAACTGGATTTTAAAACCAGAAGAGAACAGGAGTAACTGTGATTGTGAATTAAGTATTCTTCAGGAAAATTAGCCTGAAACAAAATAGTCCAAACATCTTTAAAGTGAAGTGACCATATTCTCATGCTGGCAGTACATAAATAGAAAGGGGTCCTAAGACATAATTAGCACTGAATACATAAAAGATATAGTCATTTTATTGTTTCTCTAGACATCCTTAAACGTGTTATGCAAATGAACAAAATATATTTCCAAATAAAGACTTCTGAATCAGAAACACACCACCACCACCATAACTATTAAGTTTTAACTATAAAGCTATTTCCAAACTAGAAATCGTTGAAACATCAGTTTTAAAAGTCAGTATTCCACTTAAAGATGTCATGGAAATTGCTGATAATAATCTGTTCAATGTACCATATTTCAAAGAAGTTAACATCAACTGTTACCATAAAATTAAATAGAGTCCAGTGACTATGATATGTACCAGACACCTCCTACACATGTCCGGTCATCCATCCTTCAAGCACTGGTCAGTATGATGCAGGTCCTATGGTGTTAAAGCACCAGCTTTTTAAATGAAAAAAGTTCCTATCAAAACTCCACCAAGGTTTTAAAAAGACCTCACACATGTAGATGTAAAACACCGAGAGATAGATGTAAAAACCCCAAAACACCAAACCAGGTGCCCTTGAGTTGATTCCAGCTGCTGGTGACCCGTATGTGTGCAGAGTACAACTGTGCTCCCCAGAGTTGTCAAAGCTATGACTTTTCAGAAGCAGACAGCCAGGACGCCTCTGCTGGGGTCTGAACCACCAACCCTTCAGTAGGCAGCCAAGCCCTTCAACATTCACGCTACTCAGGGACTCCATGACACAGCCAAAGCAATTCTGAGGCAGAGAAGCAAAGTTGTAGGACTTACTTGCCAGACTCCACATAAAGCTACAGTCCACTGAAGGAAGCGTAGCATTGATGTTGGGATAGAAAAGGAATCCAAAAGTAGACCCCGGGTTACCGGGTTGACATCAGTCACCCAGTTCTTTGGGAACAATGGTATCTTAAAATAAATTATGCTAGAACAAGTGCTTATCCATATGGAAGAAACTAAATTTTGTTCTCTCATACTATACAGAAAAAATAATTTAATATAGATCAAAGGCTTAAATGTTAAAGGTAAAACTGTAAAAAACATAGAAGAATGTTTTCATGACTGTGAGACTGGCAAATATTCCTAATATAGGACATAAAAGATAATAATGACAAAATAAATATAATTCTGACTTCACCAAAACTAAAAATGCCTGTTTATCACAAGACACCATTAAAATAGTCTCTTCAATAAATTGTGCTGGACAACTAGATCTTCATACAAATGAGAATATAGTAAGATCCATACCTCACACTGTATGTAAACATGGCTCTAAATACAAAAAATAAAAATCTAAGGAGAAAACACAGGATAACGCCATGGAAGCTAGCTTTTGATGATGGATTTTTAAATGTGACATCACAAAGCATGAGCAATAAAAAATAAAAATAGATAAAATGGAAAAATTAATAACTTTTGTGAATCAAGGGACTTTAACAAAAGAGAAGAGACAATATACAGAATGGGAGAAAATATTTGGCAATAATAAGAATTTTATATCAAGAATATAAAAAATATATTCAACTCAACAACAAAAAGACAAAGGACTTAAATAGACATTTCTCCAAAGAAGATCTACAAAGGCCAAGAAACACATGAAAAGAGATGTTCAGTGTCACAATGAAATACCACGTCATTCCAACTAGCATGACCATTATCAGAAAACTGAACAAGTATTGGTGGGAAGGATGTGGAGAAGCTTGACCCCTCCCACACTGCTGGTGGGGGTTGTAAGAAGATAGTACAGCTACCCTATGGTTCAAGGACAGCTTGGCTGGTCCTCAAACAATTTAAACACAAAATTAACCAAAGGGTTCAGTAACTCCATTCCCAGGTATGTATCAAAAAAATTAAAAGGAGGCACTCAAACAGACACTTGTACACAAGGTTCCCCGCAGTATTATTTACAATAGCCCAAGGTGGACGACACCAAAGTGTTCCTCAGCCAGTGACTGAACCAACATGTGATACATACACACATACGATAGAGGGCGGACTCTTTATAAAGAGAAAATGATGTGTTCACGTAAGCTACGATGTGGTTGGAATTTGAAAACATAACATGACGTAAAATATGTCAGGATCAAAAGGGTAAGTGCTGTATGAGTCCACTTATGATGTATCTAGAACAGGGAAATGCCAATGTCAGAAAGGGATCAGTGGACACCATCAGGGGGAGGGGAAATGAAGAGTTTCTGCATAAAGGGCACTGACTTCCTGGTAGACAAAAAACTTCTGAAACAGCAACAAAAATACATAAATAAAAAGCAACAGAACTCGGACCCACTGCCACTGAGTAGATTCCAACTGATAGTGGCACTGTACTGGGTCTCCAAGATGACAAGTGTTCACAGCCTCCTCTTTCTCCAGCAGACTCATTAGTGGGTTTGAACTGCTGACCTCATGCAAACTGACCAGGACACTTTGGCACAACTGAAATGGAAAATCTGGGATGGCATACACTGTACTGCATACATACAAAAGGCACCATTAAAAGAGTGAAAAGGCAAGTCCAGACTGGAAGGAGACAGTCTCAGTTCATAGATCTGGTAAAGCACTTAAACCCAAAATATATCAATGACTCCTACAAACCAATATGAACTAAATAAATGCCTGCTGTGTATTCAACTGTGCTGGCCCCCAGACGCCCACCCAAGTTTGTCAACTTGGCTGGGCCGTGATTCTCAGAATGATGGAATTATCTTTCAACTTGTGGTCTGATGCAATTATCCTGTGTGTTGCAAATCTTCACCTCTAATGATGTGAATGGAGTCTTGGTGTGGCGCTGCAGGATAATGCGCTGGACCACAAGGTCAGTTTAAGATGCAAGGTCAGTAGTTCAAACTTACCAGCCGCTCCTTGGAAACCCCATACAGGGTCGCTATGAGTCACTAACAACAACAATGGTGTTAATGAGACAGGAATAGAACCAGTTATGTTAATGAGGCCAGATTCCATGTACAGGACTAGGTTGACTCTTGAGTCCATCTCTTCTGTGAGCTGAAGAGATTAAACAAGCAAGCAGAACTCAAAGGGGCCTACCACCATCAAGGAAGAAGAACCAGGAGCGGAGGGTGTCCTTTTGACCCAGGGATGCTTGTGCTGTGAACATCCTGGGCAGAGGGGAAGACTGACGCTAAGACAGATGGAGACCTCCCAGGGATGCCAAGCCAGAGTTACGGGACAGAGACAATCATCTTCCTCCTCAAGAGCCAAAAGGAGCCAACTTGTCCTGGAGCTGCGCCCTGACGCCGGACTTGCAGCCTCCGAAACTATGAGAGGGTCTATTCACATTTGTTAGGGCCTCCACCTGTGGTGTTTCTATTGCAGCAGTGCCCCATTTAAAAGAGAAGCAAAAGACCTAATAGGCATGTCACAAAAACAGCATGCTCAATAAATAAGCCAAATGCACATGAAAAGACAGCCAATGTCATTAACCCTTAAACACATACCACCACCCAAACCTGATACCAGCAAGAAAGGATGGGAAGGAGGGTGGAAGAGAAATAAGAACCACAGGGAGGAAGTGAGATAACTGCTGATACTTAGAGGAGGACCTCAATCATTGAGATGAAACAAAGTGTATGAGTTGTTGAATGTAAAACTGATAACTTCTCTGTAAACCTTCACTCAACTGACAAAAAGTTAAAAAAAGAAAAGAAAAAGTATTAGATAAAAAAAGAAAAAATAACTCTAAAAATCACTGTCCTTATCATTTGGAAGGAGTCCTGGTGGTGCTACTGGATAAGCACTGGACTGCTAACCACAATATTAGTGGTTCAAGAGCCCTCCAGTCTGTCCTTGAGAGAAAGATGAGGCCGGCTGCTCCCATAAAAATGTATAGTCTCCTGAGAACAGACAAGATGGCGGATCAGGTGAAAGTGTAGTGAGGAGCTCCGTCAGCAACAACACAGAATACTGGATCAAGCAGGTTCAAGGGATGGTCCCAGAACTCTGAACCACAGATAAACGAATATTTAGTAGGCTGGAAGGCTCACAGTTAGAGGAATTGGTAGCAGAAGCAAGAAATCCAGTGCTTTCTAATCCAAGGTGCTCAGCTGCTCCCTGAGCGACCATCTTGGGTGAAACCAAACCAGGGAAGGATCAGAGCAGTCACGGAACCTGACAGAACCACAGAGATAAAGGTGTGGATATTCTTTTTTTTCTTTTTAAAGGAGCTCTGGTAGCGTAGTAGTTACAAATTGGGCTG